AGATACAGGGACAGAGAGACAGAGACAGAGAAAGAGAGACAGAGAGAAGGAGGGATGGAAAGAGGGAGGAATGGAGAGACTGGCAAAGAGAGAGAGGGAGGAAGAGAAAGAGACTGAGACAGATATACAGAGAGGAACAGAGAGACAAGAGGAGAGAGAGAAAGACAGAAAGAGAGACAGAGACAGAGAGAGAGACAGAGAGAGAAGGGAGAAAGAGAGGGAGGAGAGAGGGAGGGGAGAGGGAGACAGAGAAAGAGGGATGGAGAAGAAGGAGGGGAGGAGGGACAGACAGAGAGGGAGGTGGGAGAGAGAGAGCTGTGACATCTAAGATGATCAGGACAGGCTTCACAGAGAAGGAGCCACCTGAGAGTAGCCTGAAAGGAAGCTAAGGATTCTTAGAGACCAAAATTATCCAGGTCTATCTAAGGAAATAGAGTTGTAACTAGATTTTTTTTTTCACTTGGAGCAAAAATAGAGGGTTTTTTGTTATTGTTGTTGGTGATGGCATTTTTTTGGAGATGGCATAGACACCGAGGAACGTCTGACTATGGGGCATACCAGGAGACAGGGAGGTCCGGTTCCGTGGGGGCCTGGAGAGATAGGTGGGCCCAGAGGAAGGAGAAAACAGGGACAAGACCCAGGGGGTAGGGTGGCTGCTGTGCTGTCTGTGGGTTGGTAAAGCATCCCAGTAAGGCACAGAGACAGTGGTCACTATGAGGAGGATGCAGATCTTCCCAGGGAGGGAACCCAAGGGACAAAGTGACTCCTCCAGATATTGATGCTTGGGGCAAAGCCTCACTTGTTCTGGGAGGAAGGGCATTCTAGGCATGTTCTAGGGAACATCTTATTCAAAATCATGGAGTTGGGAGATGGAATGCAGAGTTTGGGGGAAATGTGTTGGCCAGTTTGGACCATAGAATGCATAAAAGGGAATAATGTGAAATAAGTCTGGAAAAATAGACTGATTGTGAAAACTTAAATGCCAAGTTAAAGAATTTATATTTTAGCCTAAAGGTAGTAGGGAGCCACTGAAATTCTTGAAGAGGAGAGTCACATGATCAGATCTTGTCCTTTAGGGTTATTTTGACAGCTATATGGACAAAAGAGACCAGAAGCAGGAATTCTAATTAGAATACTTTTGTTATAGTCCAGGCAAGAGAAAAAAAATGGAATGGATCGGGAAGATTTCATGGAAGTAGAATTAATAAGACTTGGCAAATGATTGGATAAGAAGGGTGAGGGAAAGGGAAGCATCCAGAATGAGTGACTGGAAAGATGGCGGTGTCTTTGGAAGAAAGAAGACAGCTTGGAGACAGAAGAAGTTTGGGTTAAAGATAATCAGTTCTGTTTTGGGCATGTTGAGCTGGACATGGTAATGGTGTATTGAGACAGACATGTCTTGCAGACAGTTGGCATTCAATCAATCAATAAATGTTTATTAAATGCCTACTATGTGCCAGGTAGGCAGCTAGGGGGCACAGTGAATAGAGTGCCAGGCCTTGAGTCAGGAAGAATCCAGAGTTCAAATTTGACCACAGACACTTACTAACTGTGTGACTCTGGGCAAGTCACTTAAACCTTGTTTACCTTAGTTTCCTCATCTGTAAAATGAACTACAGAAGGAAATGGCAAACCATTCCAGTATCTCTGCCAAGAAAACCCCAAATGGGGTCACAAAGAGTTGGACATGAGTGAAAATTTTGAGGTGCTGTGCAAAGCACTGGGGATACAAAAAGATAGCCCTTGCATTCAAGGAGCTTACAATCTAATGGGGGAGACAACATGAAAACAAATATATACAGAGAAAGCTATATACAGGATAAATAGGAAATAACAAAGAGAAGGCACTAGAATTAGTGTTCAAGAGAGAGAAGAGATTTTGGCTCGATATATAAATTTAGGAGTCATTTGTATGGATGTGATAATTTAATAATTGGATGGGCACTGGACCTTGAGTTAGGAGTTCAAATTCTGCTTCAGACACTTATCTGTGGTGTGACCCTTGGCAATACCTGTCTGCCTCTGTTTCCTCACATGTAAAATGGGGATAATAATACCTCCCAGGATTATTGTGAGGATCAAATGAGATATTTGTAAAGGATTTTGCTAACCTTAAAATGAGAGCTATTATGATTATTAAAAGGGTCTAGGACAAAACATAGAAAGCTCCTCCACCATGATCAGAGGATGGGATATAGGTAATGATCCAGCAAAGACCGAGAAGGTGTGGCCAGATAGATAGAAGGTCCAAGAGAGAGAAGTGTCATGGAAGCCAAGGGAGGAGAGAGTGTTCAGGAGGAAATGGTTGTTAGACATCTTCAAATACAGACAGAAGTCAAAAAGGATGACAGCTGAGAAAAGACCATTGGCTTTATCAATCAAGAGGCCATTGGTCACTTAGCAGAAGAGCAGTTTCAGTCCTGGGGTGGAGTGGGCAGCCAGATTGGGAGAGGTTGAGAATTGAGTAGGAAGTGAGGAAGGGGGCAGGAGGTGGGGGAGGAAAGCATTGAGCTGTAACTGGTAATTTCAGCACCTGGGACAACTACCGCCTTGGGTAAGGAAAACCAACTGGGGGCCAGCAGAAGGAAATGGGCCCTCAAATTCATTTTGCCATTCATGATGTGAAAATAATTCAAGAAGTAATTAAGATGAATTCAGTTGAGTTGGAGGGAAGAATTAATTACTTGGGTGGCTCAGATTTGGAAGGCACCTTTCAAGGTCATAGGATCTCAAGCTCCCCTCCCACACAGCCTGCAGGAGGGAAGATAGAATTGGGATCCATACTCACCCCAGAGTTGTATACTATCCTCTATACCCTCCACTAGCCTTGTCTTGTGTTGGAGGGATCCCCTCCCCCATCTCCTTCTAGTCTATAGGTATTGAATGTTTGCCTCCTCTCAATTTTCCACCTTGGACTGAATATGGCTCTGGTGGCCTCTTTTAGGGAGATCAGGGTGGGGGTAATACTGACACAAGCAAAAGGTTGTTCTATGGGTGTTAGGGCTTTGGAGGCAGGGGTCAGGGACGGGGGTGGGGACTGGCCTGGGTAGGGGCGGCTTGCCCATGCTCTGGGTACTTTATAGTGCGGTGCAGTATACTGTGTCAACATGGCCGGTTCCGGGAAGAGGAGTGCTCCTGTCTCTGTGATGTTGGCTATGGTGGAGCTGAGTGTGCAAGTGAGTATGGCTTTCCCAACCCTTCCCTCTAAAGCCAGACCAAGCCTGGGGCTCTGGATCCTCTCTCAGAACTCAAGGAAGGCAGGACTTGCCTGCTGAGACTTGCCAAGACTCTCTGTGTGTGTAGCTTCCTGATTACGGGGGGAGGTTCTCTTTCCAGCCTCGTTAATGCCTTTTCCCTCTTTGCGAACTCAGTGGTTCAGCCAAACTGTCCCTCTGGCTGTTCCTCATCCATAGCCCTCCATCTCCTGTCTCCTTGCCTTTCCACTGACTGTCCCCCATGCCTCGAATGCACTCCTTCCTCACTTCTACCTCTGAAAATCCTTCTCACTTCAATCACCACCTTCTATGTGAAACTTTTCCTGATTCCTCCCAAATGCCTCCCAAACAACCCCGTGTTTATTTTGTTTTTAATATTCTCTCTGTACTGATACATGGACATGTTGTCTCCCTTGATAGAATGGAAACTCCTTGAGGTCAGGGACTGTTCTATTTTTTCTCTGTTGCCCCAGTCTGCCACAGTACCTGGCATACAGTAAGTGCTTACTAAATGCTTGTCAGTTGACTGACATAGCCCTTAGAGCAGCCAGGTGCTCCCTGCCTTGACCTCACGTCAAGGCATATAGGCACCCAAGGACCCACATTCTTCTTTCTCAGTCAAGGTCCAGTTCCCCTTCCACGCCTGTGACCTTTGGATAGATGGCAGCTGCTTCATGATCTCCCCAGAGGCAGACACCTACTATGGAGCCAAGAGTAAATGTCAGGTGAAACTCTTGTTCCTGTGGGCCGTGGGGTCCTGGGCTTTTCTGGGGCCAGAGTAAAAGGGAAGGAAGGTTTGTGGCCCCTAGCAAAATGCTGCTTACAGAGTGGACACAATAAATATTTCTGAATGTGAATCTGAATCTTCTGAGGAGAAACTAACATCATAAACTGGCTGATGTCATGGAACTAAACCCCAAGAGAATGCACAACAATCCCTTTATGTGATGGCAGGGTCTTCCCCAGTGCTAGACCTTATTCAAGTGCTTTTGTGTCTTTAAAATGGTGCTGGCCTATTTTCTCAGGCTAGGGTGTGGCTCATGGGAGCCAGTGCCATACTGGGGAAAGAAGGCTGGATTTGGAGTCAGAGTCTGACTCTGTCAATTACTTACCTTTGTGACCCTGGGCAAGTCACTCAAGCTCTGTTTTCCTCAGTTTCTTCAACTGTAAAATGGGGATAACAGCACTTACCTTGAAGAGTTGTTGTGAGGATCAAATGAGATAATACATGTGAAGCCCTTAGCATGGTGCCTGGCACATAGTAGGTATTATAGAAATGTTTATTCTTCCCCCTTTCCTACCCTTATTCTCTTGATTATCAGTCCCAGGGGGTGGACATTGAGGAAGTTACTTTAGTTTGGTCAATTGTCAATCAGCTTTGAGGAGATGTGGGGGGAGCAGGGTAACTGCAGACGCAGCCTCTGATCTTCAAGAATTCAGCAGTTACATAGAAGAGACAAGCTGTCTAACTCAATTTAATTCAACCAGTATTAATCACTACATGCCAGGCACTGTGCCAAGTGCTGGGGATACAGACAGATCAGTCCTTGCCCTGGAGAAGAGGACATTTTTCCTGTCAATGTCTGTGCTGCCTATTTCTATCGGTGCTCAGATTGCAGAATTACGTTGCGTAGATTGGGGGTTGTATTGATCTGTTGACAAATAGGCCATTTAAAGGCTGAGGGAGAGAGAAGACAGCTGGTAGGCCAGTTCATGTATTCTGCTGGTATCTACACCTGTGTTAGGCAGACTCTTGGGTGGTGGGAGAAAGACCTCTCCTCCCATTCTAATTGGGAAAGACAACATAAAGGAAAATTCTGCTTAAGAGCAAATGGAAAGGCCTGGAAATCCTAAGGGTGCTGCAGGGGGGAGGATGAAAGGCCCCAGGGTCTTTAATTAACCCAAGTAGGCCAGACAACTATTCTGGGGGACTGCTGGGCTTGGAGGTAGGACTCATGGTAAAAAGCCTGGAGGACTTTAGGAGGCAATGGCAGGAGGCAAGCTAGGTCCTGGTGGTCTTTCATCTCCCTGGAAGGAATAGAATTGTTGACTCTCATCCCATCCAAGCAGTGATGGGTCAAGCAAAAGGTGGAGCTCCCAGTGGTGGTGCTCCATGGCACCCCTATGAGGGCCAAATGGAGGGCAGACACTGGAGTTAGATGCATAGTTGGTCCTAACTGGCTGCCTAGTCCCAGGGGCTCTCCTGAAGCTTTGTTCTGGGGGTGGGGGGGAGGTGCAGGGTAACCTCTTAACAATAACAACAATAATAATATCCAGCATTTATATGGAGTTTTAAGTTTTGCAAAGTGCTCTACAAACATTATCTCATTTGATCCTCTCAACAATTGTGGGAGGTAGGTACTTTTAATAGCTTCATTTTTTTTTAGATGAGGAAGCTGAGTCAGACAGAAATTCACTGATTTGCCCAGGGTGGCTTCGCTAGCAAGTGTGTTGTTGTTGTTTGTCATTTATTCTTGAAGAGGATCATGACATTAGGGAGGTGATGTCATGATTGCAAGTGAATTGGATTTGAGTGAGGGAGGGTTGTGCAAAGTCACCAGCTTCACTTTCTCCTCGGGGTCCAGTGGCAAGATAGAGATCAGGATGACTAGAGATGGCCCCCAGCAAGTGGCTGAGACAAGATTTGAATTCAGGTCTTCCTGACTCCAAGTCCAGGACTCTACCCACTGCACCACATAGTTGGGGAAATTCACTGAGATTTTCTTAATCTTTTTGAGGGTGGATAATGGGGTCTCTTGGGGTTTTTCTGAGGAGAAGCCCTGAGATGCCTTGGGTTCCCTGGGTAAGATGGTACCAGTGACATGGCTAGTGACTTGTAGGAGAAGGGTGGAATGCTGGCTCAGATTGAGAATCAAAAAGTCCAGGACATCCTAGCCTTCTATCTGGGACGCCTGGAAACCACCAACGAGGTGACAGATGCTGACTTTGAGACCAGAAACTTCTGGATTGGTGAGCATGGTGGCTGGAAATGGCGGGGTAGGAATTGGGTCCTGCAGATTCCCCAGAACCATCCCTACCCACTTCCAGAGCTCAAGGAGGATTCTGTAGGCACACTTAGGGATCCTGCAATAGGGGTGGGTGGATCCTAGAATCCCAGCCATTTGGAGATGAGGTCAGGATTAAGAGCAAGAGATCAGAGAAGGTTTAGAGCCAGAAGATTAGGAGTCTGGCCAGCTGTTGGACCAGGGACCTTCACTGGGAAGGGCTGAGGGGAGAAGAGGAAACGTCTTCAGGCAAGATCAGGAAGGTTGACAAAGGGTACAAAGTGGAAAAGTGGGGGGTGGGAGCCAGTGGGTGTGAGTGGGATAGGTTCAAGGGCTTTGGCACTAGGGAGTAGTCCTCAGTGGGCAAGAGCCGTTCCTGGAAGACATGCAAAGACAAGAGTGGAGGAAAAGGTGGGCATGGGGCCCATAGACTCAAGAAAACAGGGCAATCCCTCCTAATCCCTCCCTTCAGTATCGATTTAGGGTGGAGGTGGAGGCAGAAGTAGAGACCCTAAGAGTGACAGATGGTGCAACTGACCTGATGGTGTGGTCTTTACACTAGGACTGACCTACAAGACCTCCAAGGACTCTTTCCGTTGGGCCACGGGAGAGCATCACTCCTTCACCAGTTTTGCCTTTGGCCAGCCAGACAACCAGGGGTGAGAGAGCATGGGGTAGGAGCAGGGGTATGCTGGTGAATGTTTAACAACCAGCTCTCCAGGGGAAAAAAGTGTGTGTGTGTATATTACAGTATCCTACAATCAGCTTTTAATTCATTGTTTTGTTGATTGTTTGGACTTAAGAAAGTAATGGAGAAAATGTTAATAATGCAGATTAAACTTAAAAGTGTGTTGTGTGTGTATGTATATATATGATTTTTACATATATAATTATGTATTGTATGTGATATATAATATATAAATTTTTAAGTTTCACATGTTAAGTCTATTAAACTTAAAAGTGTGTCAGGGATACGGATATATATCACATTAATATATTATATATAATACACATTATAGATATATCTATAGACACATGCATATATGTGATATATCATATACAAATTTTTAAGTTTCATATGTTAAATCTATCAACTTAAAAGTGTATCAGGGATATATATATATATATATATATATATATACCACATTAATATATGATATCTAATATCCATTATATACACACATATACATAATTATATACATTACCTATACATCCACAGACACACATATTTTTGATATATAATATATAAACTTTTAAGTTTAATCTGCATCATTAACATCTTCTCCATCACTTTCTCAAGTCTACACAATCAACAAAACCATAAATCAAGAGTGAATGTGTAGGGTAATTTCAAAGGGGGTAAATACCTATCCTGCTAATGGATTAGCTCCTATAGGGAGGGGTGTCCCAGGGCTAGGGGCCATTCCAAGTTGAATGGTGGCCAAAATCTCCACACTATCTACTGTCCTGTCTTTGTCCCGCCTCACCCTCACGGCATCAGGTAATTGACCAATATTGCTGCTATGATGTGTAAATGATATAGTCCCTGCCCTCAGAGAGTTCTCCGTTTAACTGGAAAACAGGACAGGGAAACCAGGAAACAATTAGAAAACAAGACAAAATAATATTTAATTTAATTTGATTCAACAAATGTTAATTATGTGCAAGGCACTATGCTAGGCTCTGAGCAAAAATGAGTTCGTGCCCTCAAGGACTTTACCTTCACCTGGGGATACACTTCGGATATGGAGTAGTAAAATTTGAAGAGGATGAGGATACCTGCACCTTGGGAAATTAGGAGAGGATCCACAGAGATCAGACTGTAAGGAAGATAAGAGAGGGGAAGGGGGATGCATTCTGGGTGCAGGAAACTCTTGTATGTTTAGAGACAGAAGATGGAAGGGTCAGGTCTGGAGACGTGGTGGTCTCGTAGTCAGAACGTGGAGCTGGTTCATGGATGGATATTTACGAAGTGCCTGCTCTGTGGATGGGTCTGTGCTAGGGACCATCCATCTTCAAGATTGCTATGGTTCCCACCGCATCTGGGGGCCTGAGAGTTGGGAGGAGGAAGGAGGCAGAACAGAATTCATCTCTAGGGATCTCAAGATCCTTGTCCCCAACCCTGTTTCCTCTCTGAGATTCCTTTCCCCCCTTTGAATATAAACTCCTTGAGGGCTTTTTTGAATCCCCTTAGTTTACCTTAGTGCCTGGCACATGATAATACCTTAAGAAATGTCTCCCGCAGGCCATCCATTCCCTTGGGCACAGGGCCTTGGTTCTAATAGCTAGCTTGCATTTCTACCTGGAAGTGTGCAGAACCTTTACCTGTGTTATCTCACTTTATTCCTCTACCCCTTTCTCTTATTCTGTCACCTCTTTCCCCACAAGGCAGGAGGAGACCTCACCAGCATGGCTAAACATTGGGGGAGGTGATGGTGGAATAGGAGTGCTTTGTTGCCTTAAACTTTTTTTTGTAAATTTTTTTTCCTTTTTTTTTACAAAATGAGTGAGAATTTTTCCAGAGTCCTCTTCGAATCCTCTGAAAACAGCTTTGAATGCTCTCAGGTCTGGGGTGGTGGAGTGGGAGGCTAGAAACAGGAACAAGAAGCTACTTGCTGGGGGGTGTTGACTTTCAGTAGTTAGCAGGCCTCTTCCCTCCCTCATTCTGTGCTGGCTAGCCCCTCGGGTCTTAGTAGGGGCAGCATCTTCTGCACTGCAGACTGCTGATCCCCCAGGATATCCATAAGCTGAGAGTTGGGGCTGCCTACCTGCATGCCCCTTCACCCTCAAACCTCCAGCAAGATCACTCCCCATGGGACAATTCTCAGTTCTCTCTGTGTGGGACCCTACAGGTTTGGGAACTGCGTGGAGCTGCAGGCATCCGCTGCCTTCAATTGGAATGACCAACGCTGCAAAACCCGAAACCGCTACATCTGCCAGTTTGGTGAGTGGCCTCTTGACCCCCAAGCTCTTCTGACTCTATCCTTTCCCTCTCCCAGCTTTGCTTCCACGGGAGCAGAGCTACCAAGCAATGAACTCCCAGCTTGGCTCCCTCCTTCCACCATTGTCCTGTCCCTCTGCCTCCTTCCTCCATTGGCTGGTCCTGGAATTCCTTCCTGATTCTCACTGTGAAGGTTCTTCTGGGAAGACACCTAGGTCCCCTTAGTTCTTCTTCATTCTCCAGATCTAGCAGGGTTATCAGAGACTATAGGGAGGGGGAGAATCCCTAGGTCAGTTCAGGAATAGAAATGATCTTCTCTATGCCCTGGGCTGACAGTCTGAAATGATTCTATTATGACAGCATGAGGCCTCAGTAGTAAGTAAAAGTAGCAGTCTGGGGACGACACTGGGTCCCTTGGCTAGAACATAGCTGGTGTCCTTGCAGGGGCGGGGTGGGGGGGGGCCCTCCATCTCCTCCTTCCTAGGTCTTCTGATGGACGTATCTTTGTGAACCTCACTAAATGTGCCCTGCCTTTCAACCTGGCCTGTTTGTTTGGGCTGTTTGAAATGGGCTGCCCAAGTGGGGTCCAAGTGGATCCTTGACACTTGGCTCTGGGGTCTTTCACAGCCCAGGAGCACATTTCCCAGTGGGACTTGGAACCCTGAAGTAGGAGCTCCTATCATCTCTGCCAGCCTTCAAGCCATCCCTCCTTCCTCTGCCCTAAGCCCTTGATACCTATCTGGAAGAAGATGATTCAGGCAGCTCAGAAGATGGTTCTGGATCAAGGATACCTCCCCCTGACATCTGCTGTGCTCATCTGGCATCTTTGTATCTCCGTCAAAGAGTGATGGGGCCCAGGGGGTGAGGCAGAAGGCTCACTGATCACCAGGGAAGTTGTGTGTGAGGGCATGAGGGTTGAGTGAAGCTAGTACAGGGCAGGTGGAAGTAACCATTAGAGAGACCCCTACTCACTAACCACCCCACCTTCTCTGTACCCTCTTGGGCACAGGGTAAGAGGGGTTTCTGGGCCCCGTCTTCCTCTTAATGTTTTCTGTTGTGGTATCCTTCCTTTTGCTTCTACTAGTATATAGAGAGAGTCAAGAAATGTGTGTCAGACTCAACCCTGGCCATCCTGAAGGGGTCCATCTCGCACCATAAGTGTTGCTCATTAGATAATTCAAGCCCCTGGCAGGAAGCATAGGCAGAGAGACCACTCCCCAACCCCGTATGTGTGTGTGATAGTACGTCTGGGTCCTAGGACCTAGCTAGTGATGGTATTGGGCAAGGAACATAGCAAAGCAGCATCTCTGGGCACTTAGAATGTACTTTGTGAAGGAATAAACTAATTTATGCCTAAACTTGGTGTTTTCTTTGCTCTCAAGGCTTCCTTGTCTCCTGTCCTGAAGAACGGAATCATTTCGAGTTGACCAGTGTCTTCCCCAGTTTTAGAATGGGGCCACTTTCTTCTCTTCCACACCCTCGTCTGTACCCACACAACTGAGGGAGTCACTAGGGGTTAAGGGAGAAATGTAGGGATAGGAAAGAATGGGAGATGGGGGGAAGTCTCAGCCCTATGACAAGAACTGTAGCATCCAAGAAGTCTGTCCTAGCTCTCGAGTAGCAGCGCATGTGTGTGTGTGTGTGTGTGTGTGTGTGTGTGTGTGTGTGTATGTGTGTGTGTGTGTGTGATGGCCCCCTTTGGCAACCACTGTGGCGAAGCCTCAGGACTCCTTCTCTTAATGATTCATTTAAATTCATAAAATAAAATACATAGGAACACAAAAGAAACAATTATATTGAGATGACTTTTTTTCCATCCAGGTTCATAGACACCCTGAAGTCTATTAACAGACCTGAGTTAAGAACTTTTGCTCTCAAACTAGGAGGGCCCTTGGAGATCAGACAATTCAATTGTTTCCAGTTGAAGAAACTCAGCGCAGAACAGTTAAAAGACTCATCTAACAAAGCACTTTAAAACCAGGTCCTATCATGCAATAGAAAGAGTACTTGGTTTGAAGTTTGTGACTCTGCTACTCACTACCTACGTGACTTTGGGTGAGTCACTTAATCAATCAATAAGCATTTGTTTAAAAACAAACAGACAAACAACAACAATAGCAAAAACTATGGGCCAGGCAAGGCATCAGGTGCTGGAAATACAAAGACAAAGATGAAAAAAGGTGCCAAGTGTCCTCACGGAGTCTATATTCTGCTAGGGGAGACAACGTGTAATCATATTCACAAAATAAATGCAAGGTCATTGGTGGAGGGGAGGTACCAGCAGGCTTCATGGAGCAGGGGGTATGAACTGAGCTTTGAATGTTCATACTTAGCTTTCTTGAGGGAAGCTAGGGACCCTAAGAGGTGAAAGGGGGGAGGGAGGCATTCCAGGCATGGTGGACTGCCTGTGCCAAGGCATGGTAGAGGAGGGTGTGTAAGGAACAACAATAAACATTTATTAAGTGCCTACCATGTACCAAAACATGGTCTTGGCCACCAAGGAACCCACAATCTAAGTGGGGTAACACGAGAATGACTAGTAACTATATACAGGCAAGATACATGGAGCAGGAGTTGGAGGTCACCCAAGAGGGAAAGGCTTCTCGCAGGAGGTGGGATTTTAGGTGAAGCTTAAAGGAAGCCAGGGAGCCTAGGAGCTGGCAGTGAGAAGCAGAGGGGGCCAGGAGAGGGGGCCAGCCAGAGACAATGCCTGCAGCTGGATGTTGGAGGAGCTTATCTGAAGAACAACGTCCTTGGATTTGTAGGTTATGTGGATGGGGAGTAAGGTAAGGAGGGCCCAGATTAAGCCAAAGACGTTCAAAGCCAAACAACAAGGAACAGCAGGAAGGCCTTTGAAGTGTGAAAAGCAGATTAATAGACCTGGAAAGGTACAGACAAGTCAGCAAGGTCTCTAAATGCTAAAGAAAGGGCTTTGC